ATCCATCCATCCATCCATCCATCCATCCATCCATCCATCCATCCATCCATCCTGTATCCATCCATCCAGTTATTCATCTTTAACCCGCCGCTTCTTCCCTGTCTAACCACCTTTTGACAGCCCGTAAATTTTTGTTTTGCATTTGTAATGCGAGTTTCAGTGGCACATTTAGCGCGGATTTCCGTTGATAATTTGGCGCCTGCATCTGAACTTATCACGTGTACAGCCAGAATGCATAAACAGGATCCGCACATCCTGCTGATAAGCGCATCACAGTGTGTAAAAACGCCTTCGCTGCGCTTTGCCATCGATTCCTGTCACATCACGTAGACTATTAATGACACCACCGTTGGTTTGACACCTACGTCACTGCGGTGTAAAGGCAAGGCTGGTTGCCGCCTGCTGGATGTTGCGTCGCTCTGACCTCTAGCGCCTTTTGGTTCGCGCTATGGAGGCGACTGCCTCTGCGTTTGCTGAGGAACGGTCAACTTCGATTCTCCCTCGAATCAGAGACACCTCGCTTGTACCTTGTTGCTTTAAATTTAATCGGTATGACGACGGCCACTTGCAGCGGCCTGACCAAGGCTAGATGTCAAATATCAGTGACCTCATGTTCGGGAGGAAAAAAGGTGGGAGCGTCAAGTAGGCCTACGAGCCAAAAAGAGCGGGCAGAATTGTCGTTTAAGTATTTTGAGGGAGTGGAGAACACTTTGATCTCTTCAAAAGGTGACTGAAAATGAGATTTAAAGTCAAACCAGCTGCAAGATGTTAAAAGAGATGGTCAAAAGGGGCATAAAATTACTTTTCTGGGTAAGCGGAGGCCCAACCGATCGGATTTCGACCCTTGCCTGGGTTCTTTGCATGGCACATTGTGGTTGTTGGGGTATTAGGGAGCTTGGCAAACCTTAAAGCTACCTGATTAAGTTGCCCGGAAGAAGAGGACTTTGCGATTTCCACTTTCCTATCAAAAACTCGACAAAAAATAAGTCGTTCGTTCTTCAAGTCATTGACATTTCCAGCTGGCCTCCATGCTTGTGTACCGTGGTGCAGTAGTTCGGTCCTCACAGAAATACGTCGTGAAAGTTCGAAATTTTTGGAGTGGCCAAAAAAAATTGGATTTGACTTTTCTGTACGCCTCGGTGCAGTGCTTCGTTGCAACTTGGAGGCTCATGGGTGCATTGTGAAGCATGACTCGGTGCGCGTCAGTCTCTCCGTACTGTAGGACATTGCGGGGTAGCGGGCTTTCGCCTCCTCGCCATCACTTTCCTCTTCTCTTTAAACCACTTTCATGTCATCACTTGTCAGTTGTGCCTGGAGGATGCAATTGGAACCTGTCAGCCTATTGACCAACAGGAGGATAGGGAGGTGGAAGACTGGGCGGATGATCCAAAACCACCCACAACTTGTCCACCCTATGCTGCTATACCGCCTAACCCCCCATCCTCCAAAGATTATGCCCGTATTTTGCGTGTGGTTAACTTTGGTGCATGTCATTATTTGCTGTGAAACGTCCATTAGATGAAGACCAAATGAACGAGGCGAGGAGGAGATAGGGCCGCGTTCACATCCCTATCCTCATTCTTCGCATCCTTCCGCATGAGTCACACGCAGTCACCCACCTCTTTGGCATGAGATAGGCGGATGTGAAGTAAGACAACTTGGAAACAGAAGTGGGACTGGGTGAGGGTAGGCCAAGGCAAGGATAGATTATTTACTTCTAAAGGCGACTAGATATTGCATTGACAGCTGGCTGGTGACAAACATGAAATACTAGAAGAAATTTTCCGTACTTTACTTTTCTTTGAAAGTGCAAGAACTCATTTGATTACTCTAAGTCGGTTTGTCAGTTAAGGTGTCTTGAAGTTAGCTCTGTTTACAATATCAAGTGGATTAGCTAAGGTCATTCTAAGGCCAGCTTAGTCTTGGTCATCGTTGAAATTTGATTATAAGTTATTTGCCAATTCTGAATGTATTGGCAGCGTTTAGCAGAATCTGAAAGACTTGTCTCGACTACCAAAGCTAGAACTACTACCTTTTTCCCATTTTAATGAAGAATTTCAAACGATTATCCTTTTTTCAAAAAAAAACGGGACTGATGGGAGCCTCGGCGCAGATCCAACCTGAGGGTCAGTAATCCATAAAATTATGACTAATTAAAAGGTTTTCGAGGAGAACTTGAACATAAAGAAATTTACACTAAAGAGTGAATGTCCGATAACTTACAAACTTTCTCCATGCTACGCAAATGTAGGATGGCTTTCCCTACTCGGTCTCCCAGAGGCTGGAAAGCGAATCAAAGGGGATATTACAGCTGGCTACCCAATTTATTAATTTAACTTCGGTTGTAGCAGGTATTAAATGACTAAGATTTATCAAATTTAACTCTACTTGGAAGACAAATTTACGTACCTACTTCTTCATTAGAACGCTCACAAGTTCCAGTTAGAACATAACTTTTATCTTGGAGATTAGGTGATTCAAATTTGGATCATAGCAACGAAAGGAATGGACAGCTGGATGCTACTCGCTTAGGTGGTTTTGCCGATGTGCAAAACACAAAGGATTTTTTATTTTCGAGTAAAAGTCGAATCATCGCAGTACTTTGTCCTAAACTAGCACAATTTGTACGTGACACGTGTTTTAATGAAGCCTATTGGCCTTGACTCCTCCCCATGAATCAAATTTGGGCACTTTCTAAAAAAATGACCAACCCAGGCTTCTCTGAGGTCAAATGAGCACTTATAATTCGTCCCTCTGGAGAAACGATAGAACTGAAATTTGCGTTCATGCTTGTCGACTTAAGATGTGCTAATAAATCTGGTAATTGCCAAAAACTTCAACCTCCAAACAGCCAGGTTTGGTGTCAAAAAATTGACTCACTTTGATCCCCACTAAAGCCTACTTGACATTCTTTGTCCCGAATTCAAGTAAAAGTAAAATGGCAGAATTTGGGCTTTCGTGAGGCGATTGATGCGTGATAATACTGTCGAAAAATAACTGACATTTTGGCAGCAATTTCCTGAACGCTTAGCCGACTTATTCTGAGAATCCCTCTTGGCATAATATGCAATTGAAGGATTAGTACATCCATTCCAAACACGGACCACCTAAATTTCCAGCAATTTTAAGTTGCTTTGGAATTAACCCCAATCTCGAACTTGGCCTTAACTGATTACTGACAGCTGGTCAAAAAAGCCTCCTAACCAGTGACCGACTGGTAGCCCCGAAGTAGGAGCTACGCCGACCAAACGTCCATGTCATGCCATATCACACGACAACACAGCCAAACTAGTCAGCCAGTCACGTTGCAGCCCTTTGTTTATTGGCCGGAGTAGCTGGTCGAAATCGGTTTGTAGTCGTGACCCGCCACTTACCCAAAGGTGTCCAGTTGACACAAAAATGAGCCGCGGACATGTCGTACCCTCCCTTCTCCTTCTTCTTGTCGTTCTGACGGCTTTCCTAGGTGTGAACGGCCTCAAGTGCTATCAGTGCGAGTCGCATAAGGAGGAGGGATGCTTTCCTCTGGATGCGAAATTGGTCAAACCGACTGAATGCCCTCCTGACGCTCAAGTTTGCACCATTCTCAAACAAGTGAGTTAAGACGCGATACTAGGTATTTTTGGCTAAATCGAGGGGCTGCAATCAAAAAATCCCTCTTTCAGGAGGCTCAATTTAAGCTAGCTTACGGAGAGGACCGGGAACCCAAAGTCCGCTATCTTCGCGGATGTTCCAGCGAGGCCCCAAAGGGCGCCTACTACTGCGTGGAGCGTGCTGGCACCGGGAGCAACACCAAGAATAGGTACTGCACCTGCGATTCGGACGCCTGCAATCCAGCTGACAGGAATGCGGTGTTGAGTGGTGCATTGGCTGCTGTGATGCTCCTACTTATCTCCAACCTGGCCTGATAGCAGTGGTGAAGTTATTTCTGTGTATAGTGTTATGATTTTGGCGTTTGACAAGCATAATTATACTTAGTAGATTAAACGAGATGTTGTGGTAATAAAGTGCCTGCCGATGTTGACTTCCTTCGTGATTTAAATTACATTTTGATTTTCCATTCTTAACTCAAGCGCACGCTCCAAAGCGTCAATCCAAGCACACTAATTCTTAAGGTTGAAGGATTATTGGTTTGCGATTTTGTCATAGGTCAGTTTGAGATTTAAAATAATAATAGAATAGCTAAACTTGGAGATGTGAGACGTTAATTTAGACAGATGAACCTGACACCTCAAATTTCAGTCTGAATACTAGTCAATCGAGACGTGGAACATCTTCCACGGGTGAGTACCGGGTCAGCAATCTAACACTTAATGAGATTCGCCTTGAGGTTGTATTCAAGATTAATGACATTGCCTGATTTGGTCGTTTGTAACTCTTTGGGCTTTGTTTAGGAGTACTTTTTGGGGTTAGTCGAAGCCAAAGGCCTACCAGACTGTCTGGACATTCGGCATGACGAAGTAATACACCATGAGAAGTTAATTACGTGGACACTAGGCCAGCATTCAGCTCTCGGCTGAAATCAACTACAGCAGCTAACACCGTCTGTGCCTTGTTTATCGTAATGCCAACTCGTACGGATGCCACCGGCGCCACAAGTACATTGGCACCCCTATTTTACTTCCTGCTTTTCCTTGTCGCGTTAAGGTGTCCAGCTGCACTACATTGTGTATTACGAACGAACAAGTTAATGTAAAAACGACTGAACAGGTGCAGAACGGTTCTTGGTTTCTAGGCAGCATTAGAAGTGGTCAAATCAGTAGTGCAAAAATTAATATCATAGCAGGAGCACAAAACAACCAAACGGTGACGATCAACCTTCCACTCGAAGCTTGGGGTAGAGGAAGTTTGTATAACTTTGTCCCGTGTAAGCCACCTCGCCCACCACAGCCTGCTAACTATCGAGATAGCAGGGATCCTCCCCTCCGCCGAGCTATCACGCTAAGGAGGACTTAAATGCGGTCTCATTCCGCTAACATTTGATTTGCTACGTGTAGCATCAACGTCACCTCAAAGGCCAACACCCAACGTTTCATATCAGTCTGAGGACGAGTACTACTATCAGGCGTATAAGTAGCAATAACCCGCCAGCAAGGAAACGTAGAACTAATTGACCCTTTGAACCTCTGCTCGAGCATCGCTTTGCTCGAATCAAGAACGCCTACCGCGTATTACGCATTTAGTGGTGTTCCAAGAATTGGTTCTGTTTCTGGCGTTATTGACCATTCAGGTGTACTGAATGCGAGCGCGTTTTCGAGGACATTCTAGCGGGTCTGAAAGTTTGTCAGAAAAAAGTGAAATTTCACAAAACCAGAACAAGAGCATCGAAGTCAGTCTTGGTTACTTAAGTCTAAACGGAGAGGCACTTCAGGGGACAACTCAAGTGGCGGTACAGAAGCAGGTGACCGACATCTACTCCACATTTGTTGGTGTTCAAGGCAATGTCAGCGCCTAAATAAACTACCTAATTGCTACATATGGCTGCAGTTCCGAAGGCTCAAAACAAAGTAGCCAAGGGAACAAATTAAACTGTTCCATAGTCACCGAAACTTCAAGGCGATAACGAAGGCGCATTTATACTAGTTTATCACGCTTTGCATCATAGTTAATAGATTCCAATAAGTTGTTGCGATTTTTCGCATCCCTCCCTACTTCTATCCATTTAAGAATGAGGAAATAGTAGTTGCTTCATCACCTTAACACCCGAGGAGCTCAAATCCAGATCTTCAAGCCAGTGCTACTTAAAAGTACTAAGTAGTAGTATCACAGACTACGTGAAGGCAAAAAGAAAGACAAGTACACCTTGATTTCCCGACTGTGCCTCATAAAAGACCGTTAGAATTAAGTGCACGTGTGAAAGCTTCTATTGCGTCGACGACGGAGTCCTCCAATGAACTCCGTCACCCCCTCCTCCTCCTCGCCCTCCAATTGGTTCCTAATGGGACACCGACGACAGGACTGTTGACTGTCACCCAGCCCAGCGGTATCAAGAAAACCGGTAGAGGAGGATGAGGAGGCCATATCCGGCTGGCTGTCACGGCTAGATTGTGGGAGGAGTCGACATCCTGAGGAACGCCGCCACGCTATCCGTTCTGGACGTTGACGCGTCTACAGAGGGGAAAAAAAGAAGGCATGCAGAATTAGCATCAAAAAGTAAAAACTGGGAAGAAAACATTTTATTGATAATCAGAGATCCGAAGCTGCGGTGGTTTAGGGGTGAGTAAGAGCAGCTCGAAAAATGCTGCAACCTACTGCAATCTGATTGGTTACAAATCAGGTGGTAGACGCTTGCGATTGGTCAGCCCTGTTGGAGGTAATAAATGATTTTATTTGGTAAAAGAACGATCACTATAATTAAAAATTTCTAATCTTCTGCAGGAATGGTGCTTAGATGCCAACGAAATCATTTGCTTACTAGCATTGATAAATTGGAGACCAATAAACTGGAGTTATTGAAAACTAAACTAGTTTAACAAGGATGGTCAATGAATGGCTCCTGAGGTCAGCAAAAGTCACCAGCAAAATCATAGCGCCATTCCTACTCTTAAACACCCACAGACTAATAAGTGCAGCTATAGTAAATAAGGGTATCTAGGCAACAGTCTAAATATAGGATGGCGTAATGCATTCGAAGCAAGTCGTCGCAGCCTCCAAACCGCATCCGTGTTAGCCAATGGAAGAGGTGGTCCAGAAAAAAACGTCAGCCAATGAGATGGAGAACTACGTGACAAATGGATGGTGTATGCTTAAGTCAATAAGGCCTCCATTTTAGGAGAGCTAAGGGAAAACTAGGCCAGGGAAGCATACACTTCCTTTTCGACAACCATTCTAATCAACTCACCAATGACTTGGATCGGAATATCTTCGGTGAGGCACAAACCGCAGCCAACTGGAGACCCTCACCTGAGATCTTGTAAGAGCTAGTCAGGTGCACGGAAGGCGTTGTCTCGTCAGAGGGGGACGAGGATATGGAGGTATTTATAGTAGCGGCAAGATTGGCTTCATGGAGGTCAAAAAGCCCCACAGAGGAGGGTGGATGTTGAGTCAACATGAAAGCGGAATTTTGAAGCACTTTCAAGGTAAAAATCCCACCCCACACGCCAAGGAGGGGGCTGAACCAGTAGACGAGAAGGTGATGCAGCGGGTTGGAGGCACGACCGAGACCCCAGGTTTGAATCACCGCGTTAACGCCGTTTGCGTACGCACCGGTTAGGGGTAGACCTTTGGAAAGACGAAAAACCAAGCCTAGGTAGGACAAAGCCTACTTGTATCGCCGATTTCGGTGGAATCCGAAAATACGGGTGTATCCCGACTTGAGATATATACTACTCGGAAGAAGGATGGATAAACGGAGGAGTCTACAATCACTTGCACCACCTACTTATACAAGTACATACAAATATAAGTAGTATCAGTATAAAAGCAGAAAAACGAACCCAGATGCACAAAGTAGATGCACACCGCCTGTCTCACCGAAAATACCACGAATTCCAGCGTCCACCAATCCTCCTGCCTCCTTTCTAGATGGTGACGTTTCCAGAGGTTCAGGAGAGCAGGTAGCCCCCCCGCCAACACCACGTCCATAAAGGCGACACCGGCTTCTACGCCGATTCCCACAAGGAGGGGCACGTGGAGATCCCCGATGCTGTCGTTGAATTCATCACCATCATCATGGTCCTCATGATAATGTTGAAGAAGGAGACGTTGGCCGTGAAGACAGGCATGGTGGGTGGAGAGACGCAGTCCCCACCAGAAGTAGGAGATGTAGAGAGCAAATAATGCACCTAAAAGTTGGAGGCACCAGGAGAGGCAGACACCGAGGAGGTCTGTCTGGTTCATGAGGTAGCTGAGGCGAGAAAAAGGAGATCCGATAAGTGCTTACGACTCGGCTCATCAACCACTGAAGAGCAAGGAGTTGGGTAGCTTCAGGAGGAGTGGAAAAAAGTTGATGTAAAGGTGAGAAGTAGGTGAGTGAATAGGTCTAGGACGAATCGCAGATGCGTGAAGAAAAGCTGGATGAAAAAGTCAGCTTAGATCTGGCTCCTATATGTTACACGGGTAATCCGCACTTGCGAGGAGATGGAATCGAAGAGAATGGATCAGGAATTGTTAGATGGTCTCCACCTTTCAAGTGGTGGGTGAAAAGGGTGATACATGGGTGGAACCTTGTTGAAAGAATAGGTAACAAACATCAACGCATGAAGTCATTGATGCATCAGGGGTTGGCTATGCTGCTGTATTCTACCTACACCTCGTTGACAATCACAAAAGGACTGATTTCTCACCAGCACCACTGAGGGAGACAATTATTTCACGTTTGGAGCCTGTATAAGCTGCTGTGTCAGTCAAATTTGTCACCATGGAGAAAGAGCTCTGTTGCAAGTCATCACAACGTCAAAAGCAAGCCATCACGGTGGTGTGGGGCATACTATGACGGGGTAAGCGCTTTACACTTTGATATCTGATCAACTTTGACAACGCTTTGCAAAGTAAAGGAGGCCCTGAGCAACCAGGTGACGGCCAGCGACGATCCATTAGAATACCAGCCCTTACTAAAAGCTATTCATGTGACCGTACCTGAGGTCAGGAGGAAGCGGCAGACACAACCCCCGGTGGATGCAATCTGTGGCCGACGCGTGGAAGGCTACTTACCCTGGGCTGCAAACGAGGCCAAAGTTGACGAAGAAGAGGTATAACTTTTGAGCTATTGATCAAGAGAGTGGAGAATCGCCAAATATTCTCATTTCTGTCTTGCGAGTAGTTTCAAGTCTCTCTAACACTATTGTGAGTGACGCAGAATCACAATAATTAAGCGGCTTGAGCATAAGCACAAGATGCTTTCGTCCCATAACAAAAAAGTACGCTGCTAGTGCGACAGTTTCACGATAAACATTGGCTGGAAAAATAAGCATCGATATTTCAATGCGGCAAAGCCTAACAATTTTAACCACCTAGTAATTTTTGAGACAAAAATGAAACAATTTTTGGGATCTTCTTGTCGTCATTCCTCAGCAATATTGAGTCGTGTTTTATTTAAAGACGATTTCAGGAGACGTGTTCGGATAAAAAATGAAATGAGTTTATGGAGGAGATCGTCCAGCCCTAAGCGTTACTTCTAGGGTCAGTTCTCACTGAATTTTACACGAGATGTTTCCCTAATTACAACCGGAATTGGAGACCTCCCAGACGGGTCGTCTGAATGTATCCAGCAGCGACTACTGTTGTTTTGATGGTCACAATACTAAGATGCCTGTGTCCCCTGATACCACCAGGAGTTACCCAGGCAAAACGATTTGGAGGTTAGCCACGAACATTTTCACTCTTTATCCGCTTATTATCAACGTGAGCGTATTGCAAATCCAAAACTTCCCTTTATTGAAGTTATTCCGAACTATTTTGTGTCTTAAAAGAATCAGTTAGGGGAAGCTTCAACGAGAGGTCGAGATGGATGCTAGAGGAAGATCGACACCATGTGTCAAGACAAAACGCTACAATATTACTGAGCCCCAAAATAAAATCAAGTGCTGATAGTAAATCAGGATCTACGACTTAGGGGGAGATAGTTCAGAGCGGTACTGATAATCAATGACTACAACGCTTTGCGGTCGAAATAAGAAATTGAAACTCACTTTTACCAGTATTAAACAACTCAAAGTAATTCCAAGTTTTAAGGGTTCCGTTGTTGACAGATAGGGATGATTAAAAATTAAGTGAAATACAAACAGAAAAATCAAATCAGAAATTCTCCACCTGACAAAATTATTGGAAGCATCAAGTATGAAGTCCCCGAAGTCCTGAAACATTGTCTAACTGGAAAATCAATAGTGGCAATTTCTGAAAGCGATTTCCACAACAAATGGGCGACTTTAAAGACTGCATTGAGAGACAGAAACCTAACCAGAGAACGAAAATGAATATCCTCAAAACTATCGCTGCGAATAGACTGAGATCCAATAATAATAATTATCATTGACTTGCCGATAGAAGACATTACAAGTGGAGCCGAGGGCATCTCTCCAGGCATACTTTAGCATCAATAGGTTATGAATGGTGATCGAGGCAAGAACGGCCATATTTCCCAGGGTAACACGAGCAATGGCGTTTTCCAAACTGCAAGCACAGGCCTGAAATGCTGCGACCCCATCCTGAAATGCTACGTGAATACTTTCACGGAAGTATTTGGCACGAGACTGTTCTGTCTGAGTTGCATTAGCATTTGATTTTTGATAAATCTGGAAAAATACGGTGTGAAAAAGGAGTCAGCTTACAAATAAAAGGCACTTCTTCAGCAGCTGCCCTCCTGCATATACGAGAAAACAGAAGAAAAAGGAAAGTGCTAGGGCACAACATTCGTCATCTGTTAAATCAAGCATTAAAAAACTGGTCGCCTACTACCCAACCACATGAGGGCAAAGAAAATTACATTGGGGGCTAAGGTGACATTAAACCTGAGCAAAGCACAAAATTAACCAATCAGAAGACACTCGAAATTGCGGTTTAAAGGGAGTATTGCTAATGCCGTGAAGGCAAAACAACAGAAACAAAAGTGGCGACGTAGAATTATTCTGTATGCCTTTCTCCAGCAGCCTCTCCCCAAATTTATCACTTGTTCGAACAAGTGATCTGTCTAATGAAGGAATAATTACCACAACCCTACTATAAGAGATTTAAAACATGAAAAATGCAATTTCTCTCTGCGTTTTAAGGAATATGTAATATGGTAGTTATTAAGGGCCAGCATGAAAGCCTTGTACACATCTGGTTTAGCATGATGAACCCCAGATGAGTTATTTGCATGGTTCGAATGCTACCCCGTATTGGAATTGCAGCCCACGTGGACTGAGGTGCAAACAATAATTGCTCAACTTTGCTTAATACAAACTGTAGCGTCCCAAGACTCCCTGAAGACGAAAGAAGACAAAATACTTGGAGAGAATATATATTCAGCGCAGAGAAGGTGTCTGGGCTATTGGCATGGCCCGAAAGGCCAGCCCACCCAACGAGGTACAAGAGGGCCGATTCGAAGTACAAAAATGGCTCCTCACCAATACCGAGGGAGAAGCCACTACTGTATTACACACACCCCATCCACGCATTCTTTTCTAAAAATCAACTTCTACCACACTATCTGCACTCTCTTTCTTCTACGAATAACCAGCCCCCGTTGTCAACCCATCAGATCCCCATCTCACTCTAATACACTCGCTTGGAAACTTAAATAAAAATCCTCCTTCGGTAGCTGCAGTGCTCCACCCGCGTGTCCTAAAAGCCCTCCACCCTATTCCAAATTCACATTAGAATTCTCTCGACTCTCCCCACCAACGCCCATTCGGTCAGAAAATGGCCGCCATAATATATGCCCTCCCACAAATGTATTATGGAAAATCTAAAGGGCCCTTGCGTGCGCCTTGACTAAAATGAGCGGGTTTAGTGATGGACCCACAGAGAGGGGACGGTTTGCTGCAGACCAATAGCTTAAGACGCCCGATGCCGAGACACTACCCAAGTACAAATCAGTAGAGCCTCCTCTTGATGCTAGCCCCATCGCAGCCAATTGAAAAAGGGAAGAATAGGGCAAAATTGAAAACTCTCTTCTCAAAAACGGCAACGAATCAGCTAGAAGCCAAGATTTGTCGATTCACCCTGTCAACCAGCCTCTGATCGAGCCGTCGATGCTGTCGTCGCACAAAGATATAGGAGGCGAGACCACAACATCCAATGAAGGCTTCAAAGATGACAAAACTCCGCCGTTCTGCTTGCAGATCACTGAATGTTTTGGGATCACAGGCCACCCATTTAGGGGTGTTCGAATCAGCCATCTTGTGCGCATTTTTATCGTTGCCCTTCGGCTTAATGGCATTGCAGACGACTTGAACTCGATAGCCCGTACCCCCGCAAGCTGGATCTGATTTCTGTGTAGAGAAAGGAGTAAAAGAACTGCAGGGGATTGCCTGAAAAAGACTTACAAGAGATAAAGTTCCCTACAACTTCAGGCTTCTGTGGTAAGAATAAATTGAATGATGAGAGGGAAGGCATGAGATTAGTATTCTTGAAGTGTACGTCCAATTGCTGTGGAAGAAGAACGACAGCACTTCCATGTTAAATCAACCCAGAACCGGATTCTTCTTTCCTCAGGGTTACGAAGGCTGTTATAGTCAACTGGAGACCATTTAGCCACCTCCAGAGCAAGAAGACCACACTTTAAGGCGTGACGAACAAACTGCACCGACTTCTCTACACAGCACCCTATCCGAACATCTATCCACTTATCCAACCGGAGCTCAGTCGGCAATTCTAAAGCGGCCTCCATAACGGAATCACCCTAATACGGCCCAGTTTGTCTCGTCGGTCAACTGTACTGTGAAGATTTAAAGCATAAAACGCATTTAACAACATTTTCATTATTTTCAAGTAATACACTCGACGATGGAATAACAGATGCCAAGCTGTCCCCAAGGTAGACGGCAGATGCCTTTGGATCTGGATTTACCGATGAAAACAATCGAGATTGGAAACAGTGGCTGCTATGTAGTTACTAGTTTTTACTAACAAATGTGAGAAGGAAAGTGAAGAACACTCATGAGCTGTTCCATAATTCCTGTAGTATTTACTCAGCGGAGAAACACGAGAATTTAATAAAATATGGGCATATATGTTAGTTTTCAGGTGGTCCTTTGACTAAAAATAGTCACAAAACATGTCAAACTGAAGCAACTTTTCTATTTTCAATAGCCGAGCGCTGGCCGTTTGATCTCGATGTCACAATTTCACTTATGGATCATAGGGGAGAGGAAAGTAAGCATTCGGCTTGAGCTATGGGACTCGTGAAACACTTCAATTAAATAAAATGTCGTCAAGTGAATTATGCATATCAGTTTTATGCGTGAGAAATTAAAAGGCACTAAGAATTTCAAGTGGCCATAGCTTGCGATCATTTAACGCAATCCACTAAATCCACCGACCCAACAGTCCGTCGACTTCCTGACCTCCTAGCACAATAGTTCCTCCTTCAGATCTGGGTGCGCGTACATCAGCCAGTCAACTGAACGCTCTCAAATGTGTTAACCAACTGGTTTTTTTACATACAACAGGAAAAGATGATTACCAAAACAAAAGTTTCACCACGAAGAAAAGCTAATTAGAACTAGAAATAGAGAGCAAAAACACAATAAAACAAATATGAGAAGGAGAATGATCATTAAACTCATTTTACTTAAGATGGCATTAAAACGAGAATGAACAATCGGCAGCTTACCATGTCGACTTGGTTGCAGAGCTGACAGGATGTTAGGTAGTAAAATGACTGATTATCAGTGCAAGGATTAGCAGTGTCGAAAGTAGGTCGCAGTGGACGTAGGGCAGAGGAGACTGATTCTTCGATGAAAAAGATAATGGAAGCGACTCTAGAGAGGAGAAATTAGAAACAAAAGCAGACATAACATACACAACAAGGACGACTAGTGCGATGGTAAGAATCCTCTTTGTACAGCACTCAATCATAATTCAGTAAAAAACCTGAAAAAAAGCATTAATTCATCCTGAGATGCGACAAAAATATTGGAACAGCAAAAGCACGCTATTTTTGTGGCATTAATCAATGCACATGACGACAAAGAGCTAGAAACTACAATAGGGTAACGAAGAGCGCTTAAAAGTGAACAAAAACACAGAACACGACCATCGAATCCCGAAAACACAAACACGGACCTCCATAACGGAATAACAACGAGTTCGAAGAGCGGTCCTCTCGTGGTCAATTAGAACAAGTATACTTGGCTCTTTAAAATAATTCAGTAAAATTCATATTTTAATTATTTTTAACTCGTAGTTAGACATATTTTTAGTAAGCAAAGTAAGCAAGTTTAGGATTACTCTGCGGAGATTTATGTGCCTGCTTCATCATATGCATAATTAGGTAGGGCGCTACAGCCTTACAAAGCCAAGCTACCATTTAAAATGCAGTTTGAAAAAAAATTTGCTGCTAATAATGGGATAAAATAGTGATTCAAAATACTTGCTTCTATCTCAGTAACCTCGATTTGACATGACATTTAATTTGCTAAGATTATTTACCCCTCAGGCTGCATGGGCAAAACTTAATTTTAAAAAAGATAGTATTTTAGGTGTGTGTATAATTTATCAGGTTTTTAATAAAAAATACTAAGGTCTGAGTGCGGACTTGAGGTGCTACACATCCAAAAGCCTAACAGTTCCACCTCCCCCTAACTCATTTATATATTAATACATTAGCATACACATTGAGCTTTCCATCAATGCATTTATAAATTTACTTTTGTTTTAATTTGCTCCCACTTCACACATCGAGCCACCCGTCACCCTAACCCCCCACCTAGCTTTCATCTTTTCCAGATACTATTTTTCAAAACCTTGAGATCGTCAGCTATGTGGCGTCCCGAGACTCCCTGAAGACAAAAGAAGACACATTACTCGGGCAGAATACATATATCCAGCACAGAGAAGGTGTCTGGGCTATTAGCATGGCCGAAAAGGCCAGCCCACCCAATGAGGTACAAGGGGGCTACTTCTATGTACAAAAGTGGCGCCTCGCCAGAACCGAGGGATAAACCACTGTCGTATTACGGCTAGCATAGCGACTTTTCAGAATGAACGCTTAACAGCTGTAGATTTACCACTTTAGACTCTTTAGCCTTTGTGGTTGGGAGCCTTGCTATGGCTCACCACCGTACTCACATTCTCTCATCACCAAGCAAACTAGATCAAAGGGGCCAACTGTCCTTAAATATCCTACTGATTACCTCCTGCTCAAAAGAAATAAACCTGCAAAATTTCTAGGTGTTGAATTCATTCTTGGCACCACTTTTCACTCCTGTTTTGCCAAAAGGAAATAATGAAATGGCGTAATTTTACGCTTGAATAAATTGAGGTGTCAGTTAAAGAAGTGATTCTAATAGCCAAATAAAGTCAAACAAATGAAATCATTTCTCTGACTTCAGTAGGAAATGTCTTAAATTAGATTTGAAATAAACAAAAACCAAGGGCTTTGTTAAAGTTAGGCGTGAATGAAACTGTTGTTTTTGATTCCTTTGCAAAACTATTTACTATTTGATTAGTGAATTTACAGTACTCTTAACATCATTTGAGCCACCCAAGATAAATAGCCGCCCTGTCCTTGAGACAATACCGCTCAGATTAATGTAGCTATGTCAAAAGTGACTTTACGAAAACGAATTTCCAAAGCCTCGGAAAGTCTTGCGAAGAGCACAAAGTGTAGAGTGTAATGTGCAGCAATTATAGACCTTAAGTCAGTAGATCTGAGTGTGAGGCTCTTCTTAACATGTACGTAGATATCGCTTCAATGACCAAAAACAATACTATCAACAGAAGTATTTTTCGTCACACGCTCTTTACTATATTTAATCTTACTGACGACTTTATTCTTGACAGAAGTAAGCCTTGTTAATGCTTTGGTACCCTGCAGTTTTTGCTGTTTTTGATGAAAATTCTGACGGTGTAATTTCAATGGAGGAATGGGTTAAGGGCTTATCAATTTTACTTCGGGGTGATTTAAAGGAAAAAGCCCTATGTAAGCCTCTACTTTATTTTGACAGTGTTAGTCACATTTTCTGTGTACGACCTAAACGATGATGGGGTAATATCGAGGGACGAAATCTTCCAGATGTTAAGTTTGAGTTTGGCTAATGTAAGATCTACGACCTCAGCTAAGAATTTCCTTCTAGCAAGCTGATAACGAAGACAACGATGAAATTACCAGAGACCTCGTGGAATACGCCTTCAAACTACTAGTTACGAGCATTTGTGATTACTTATCTTTGGTCTAGGACGTCGATCATGACGGAAAAATAACCTTCGATGGCTACCTAAAAGCTGTTCAGGGCGAGATTTTATTGCTGGAACTTCTCGGGCCCTGTCTACCGACAGATCTCGTAAGACCTACACTAATGTCCATTTCTTCGCAGGCTGCAACTGCTTTTTTGGTCAAATTTGAAGATCCCCACTCCAAGAGAAGAGTAAAAACTTGAAGATTTCGCCTCTTGATAATGTCTTATTCCGGATACAAATGAATAAATAAATGTACTAACGAATGATGAAAATACACCAAAAAATGTATCAGTATTTTCTTTTTAAACCCTAGAAGGTGAAGATTTTTTGTTTTTATTTTGGCTGGGGTTATTTTCGGGTTCCTTAGCGACCCAATGTGTTGCTGGATTGAGGGGAGTTTGAATGAGGCTTCGACTGAAACAGAATCGCATGAAACAGAGAGTCCAGAGGTAGAGAAGAAGGGCCAAAAAAGCCGAGAATAGTTTCATCCACATATTTGCCCAGGATTCCATCACCGCCTGTAGGCTGGAGATTTCGGGACTACAAGGTAGAGAAGCAAGAAGAGTAGAAACAGCATAAAATACCTACTGATATGAAATGGTGAGGCAGAGGACTCAACGGGTGCTATTCATGGCTGCTTCCGCCCCAGACAGAGGCACAGCTCACACACCTCCAGAAAGACGTCAGTATGCAATTGTACGGAAATTTTCTTTCTTGCAGATGGTTCCCAAGCATTCGGGAAATCACACCCTTATTCGCTCCCTCCTAACTGGACGAGTCTATGCATTCGGCAGACCCATGCTCAATCCATTACCAAGCTCAAACACAGTCTCGGTTTGGCCTCCCACATGTCACATCTCTGTATTGACTCGACCACCTGATTGGTGGTCTCACCAGGATTCAGACAGCTCCGACATAGAAAGTCCAGTTTATAACACCGGCGACCCAGTTTATACTATATTTGTATTTTTTCGATCAACCGATACAACTTAGGTGGCAACAACAAGTAGTATACATCAAGTGTGTTGACTTACTTATACCAATTGGTCAACTGCGCCATCATAAAGAGGGTAGCCAGACAGAAGGTAAAATGGAACCAGGCATAGGAGTAGACAGTGAGAATGGCCTCATTGTAGATGGTAAAACGGTCCTTCGGCGATCGTTGGGGAAGGAGGACTTCAGCCAGTGACACTGTGGAGGATGGAAGAAAAAGGAGAGGAACAAGTAAAATCCCTTTACCGCCTCAAAACGCTACCGATTCGACCTAGTACACACGTACCGACGGATTCGGCCATCTCCTTATTCTCATGAAGCAAGTGCCTTCCCTCGTCACCAGCGAGGTATTGAGTTACAAATCGAGCCTTTTCCAGTCTCACATCGTCTATAGACATGAAGTCCTTGAGATCCTGCGCCAAGGGAAAATTCACCGTTCCGTAAGCGGATGATGGTCGTTCTTTCCCCAAATTCGAAATGACGCGCCTTCCATTAGAGGAAGCCGAAGAACGATGAGGAAGAGTAGACACGCCCACAAGACATTCCACATTGACAGAAACACGAGGGAGAGTTTTTGAGGTAGGAGCAGGACTGATTTCTCCCATTGCAAGCATTTCAACTTCTCCAGGAGGTGATGGAATCAGCTGTGGCGCAGATGATGGTGAGGTTAGACCAAGACGCTTTTTAAGAAGCCTTCTTCGAAGAGATTCGTTGGGATTTTTGACTGGTGGAACAGTCTCAGAAGAAATGGATTCATGCTCAGAGGGGCTGGTTGAGTCGACGATCTCTTTTAGCATTTCAAGGACTGGGAAAGCAAGAATGTGGACTTAAGGTTGCAAGATACTACTGAAATTGCCTAATTAGCAAACTATTTACTACTCTACTCGTCTCAATCAATCTAACCTTAACTATGCTTGAAGCCCATCAACTACCCAATTCAACAGACTCTTGACTCCGGATCTCGTGAAATACGAGGATGAGTGAGATGCCAATAAAATGTTTCTTTCAGAAGCATACCCATTCTGCGACGTTTGTTGCGTCTTTCGGTGCCAAAGCAGGCACAGGACTGGGAGGAGGGAGGAGGCAGTGTTGGACTGGTGGATGCAGCATTTGCGCTTCTTCCCATCGCCTCACGTTGCTGATTTTCTTCCTCCTTCACCTCGGCTAGCATCTTTTGAATGATGGTTTTCTGGGAAAGGGGGTAAAGACGGAATAATAGCACTTTATTGGGATGTAGCATATAGGAATAAGAGTGTGATAAAGGCATAATGCATTTGGCGTTAAAGTGGCTAAAAAGACCTTTATACACTTTGAATATTTTAAATAGCAGCGTCACATATGTGTGACGCCGGATGTACTACTATGAGCTTGGTGTCGCATATACGTGATACGCGTTGCGTATCAAGATAAGACAGGCGTGGTCGCATGAAATCACCTACTGCAAACAGTTTGAATAAAAAAAAAAACAAGCACAAGCGCTATTTGCTGTACATCTGGTGAGAAAGGCGCTTTGGCAACAATTCACATAATATTCTGAATGAAAAACAAAGTATCTGGGCGAAAGCGACGGCTGATTTTCCCTAGGACACTTGAGTACTAGCGACCTTCTATCTTATTTAACTCAAAAAGGCAATCCAAATCGTACACTAGTCCTCCACCGTGACAGCCTGTGGCATTAAAAACAAGATCAAGACGCATCGTCGAATGACCTTCACCTGTCATCGCTTTTGGTGCATTCAGTCATTCGCACTCTGGGCTGCTACTTCAGGTAGTGAATCACTGGTTTGATACTTTCCCCTAACAACTATCCGGTGGGCGTGGGCAAAAGTCAAGACACGTCGGCAGGCACCGTGCCTGCCAATATCCCATGCTTACAAGGCGTACTTACTACAGACTGGTAATGATTTGGCTCCATTTCAAAGCCCTGATCAAGTCCTCTTTCCTCAACTG